AGCTTCGTCCTCTTCCTCGCCTTCTTTTTCTTTACATACAGCCCTCGTTTAAGCAATTTTAAGGCCGTCCAAGTGAGCAGCGACTTTAGTCGGTACTGACACAATTAAGCTGTTAGAAAAGACGGGAAAGGTCCCTCTCTCCCCTGTCAGATAGGCTATTGACTTTGAAAGATGACACTTCAGGGAGAACTTATGGTGGGTACTTCACCTCAACAACTAATAGGCGCGCCTCTCTCTCTCTCTTCCTTATCTCTGAGCCCAGTTTAACTTCTGGCTTTGGGGACAGAACAGCCACACTCGTCTTAGCCGACGACATTGGCTTGGCGGTTAAGCAGTTCGTTGACTAGATTCCTCACAATGAGACATACTAAATTCATGCTGTTTCACTGGCAGTAAAGTATTTTTTTTTCGGTTTCAGGCTATTTCTATCAAAATTGAGATCTAATTATTTATAAATGCCGAGGCTAATGGAGTTCCTCTGAAACTTAATTCATCTCCATTCGCTTTTTCAGTAGGGTAGGGGGTAGGCCCTCATGGTGCCTCGGCACGGAATTAAAAGGCTAGAGGGGATGGGCATATGCAATCACAGGCTGCATTCCCGAACAGGACAGTGGATATGGTGCGTAACCCCGTTGGGTGGGTGTTCAAAAATCTATCTTCTGGTTTTATTTTGGTGGGTGCGGTTCCTTGCGGTTTGACTGACCACAAAACGGGTCATGAGATGTACTGCATCTGACCATAATTAACGTTAGTGACGTTAAAGTTTGGTATCAGCATCAGTATCCGTTTATTGAGGGAAAGATAGGCAAATGCCTTTGAGCTCTCTATTGGTAACAAAGTGGCTAAAAAAGGCATGCGTACGAAGGAAAAATAGAAAAAAATGATTTCAATTACAAGCTTGCAAACGAAGAGCGAGGTGTTGCTGTCGAAGTAGTATTAAAATACGACTACTCGCTTATCACTAAAAGTATAATAAGTACGTGTAATAAATATGTGTAATACTCTTCCTTGTGAGTCAGGTTGTTACAGGTGAATAAACTGTTTGGTGCATCTCCACTTTGGTCTTAAATGTGTTCACAGAGGTGGAGAGGGCAACCTCTTCGGGAAGAGCATTCCACGCTGCAAGCATTCTCTTACTGAAGAAATATTAACATGCATTGATCCTTGTTTTGCCGGGACGTAGGTTTAGCGGTTGACCAGGCAAAGTGGGCGTGTTAGCTTGGGTAAAAAAAATCATCAGGGACAAAACAACAATCCAGGCCGTTCATAAGTTGACCCTACCTGGCTCAAGGTTAGGATTGAGTTAAGACTTGGGTTATTCTTAGGGCTAGGGTTGCCAAGCTTCAGATACAGTTTTGATTTCCGGTTGAGGTCAGAGTTTGAAGTTTTAGTTTGGGTTTAGGATTTCAACAACAGTGTCGGAATGAGGTGAGTAGTGCCGGCAAAGACAAGGGAGACTTCGGAGGAGGGAAGTTATACGAAATCGGCGCCTATAAGTGAAGTGAATCCAACCCACGTCGCTAATGGAATAAAAAGGTCGAGGTCAGCCGCAAAAAAACGGTTGGACACTAATCGCCGGGACTTTGAAATGTCGGCGACAAAATGGGCTAGATGAGTAGTCACTTGCCTGGAATTTTACCATAAAAACTCAGATACGAAAGAGTCCAATCAAGGGTGCTCGTGAAGCCGACTAGGGCAAAAGTCGCGAGGTAGAAACGCCGCAAGGATCCCCAATAAAATTGCTAAAAATTCGACAAGGACATTTTGTCTTAGATGGACAGGTTACACCTTAAAAATCCGCTAAACCTTAGGAAGGGCTTGGATAAGGCCGACATTAAGGGGGATTCGATATACTGACAGAGAAGGAGAGAGAGATGGAGTTAAAAAAGGAGCAACTCGAAGCGCTCCACAATACCATCAACGCAACTATTCCGGGCATTCATTTCACACTCGAGAAAGAGGTTAAGAACAAACTCCCATTTCTGGATGTTCTCGTGCAGCGAAATACTGACGGAACATTACAAACATCCGTTTACCGCAAAGAAACATATGCGGAAGTTATTCTAAACTATGAGAGTAACAACCCCATTTCGCATAAAAGGAGTGCCTTCAATAGTCTGCTACATCGAACGAAGACACACTGCTCTGAAGAACAAATCTACCGAATGGAGCTCAATTACTTGTTTGGTTTGTTTTCCCGAAATGGTTACCTCAAAGCTTTATACGCCGATGCATGAAACGACAACAACGCAACCAAGAGGAGCCAGATAGTTCTACTCAAGCGCCCAATACAAACACATGGCGAGTCCTCCTTATATAAGGAATGTGTCTGAACTCGTTGAAAGACACTTACGGAAACACCAAATAAAAGTGGCGCACAAACCGATGGCTACTTTACGCGCCCAGCTAGTACACCCTAATGATAGGGTCAGCTACCTCGATAAGAAAGAAGCCATCTACAAAATCCCATGTGGAGGTTGTGATACGGTATATTGGGGCCAAACAGGAAGATCCGTCTCCACTCGCATCCGCAAACAGCAATCGGCCGTGAATAGACATGATCGTTTTTCCGAAGTGGTCATGCATTGCCTCGACACAGGACACACCTTTGCATGGGATAAAACACGCATCGTCGGAGTTTGCCACTTCAAAAATGGCCGAGAATTCCTCGAAGCCAGGCACTTCGAAGATTCATGCATTAACCGGCACGTCGAGTTGGATGGTATTTATAAACACATCAAAGAACTATGGAAAATACAGAGGTCACAGGACAGAGACTAACTGAGACCAAACCTACCAAGCATGTCTCACTTTGTATAACTATTGATTTTTTTGGCAGTTTTGACATTTTAGTTGTTCATTGCACTTTTCTTGTTAGTCCGAAGACGAGTTGGGGTGCCCAACTCGAAAATTCACTCATTGAAGTTATTTTATCCCAAAGGAACATCTTCTTCAAATTTAAAGTTCTTGGGATGCGCGTGTTCCAGTTTATACGAAAGAGGTGGAGTACTTACCAGCCTTGGCGACATCAGCCATGGAGACATTCTTGACGTGAGACATGAAACCGAGGTTGGCAAACACCACGAAGCCGGCGTAGACGGAGGTGGCACAGTTTATGCAGGCCACGATCACGGCATCCCTGTTAGGAGGATGAGGAAGGCAAAGAACAAGACACAAATCAA